CTCATACTTAGAATAATCAAATCATACAGAATGTACACCAACATGATCTACTGAGCTTGGCGGGAACCACAGCAGACGCATCTTCGTCGCGTTCCAACCCACTTCACGGCGGCCAACGTGTGATATACCAATCTCTCTACTTTGTATTAATCTGTATTTTTGCTGACGGAACAGCCCCTCCCGGCCACTCTGGCTCAAGCCGGTTGAGGTCGCGTGTTTTATCCGTCTTCTAACTACAACCAGTTTGGATTCCAGCAGGGAAGTTTGATCCAACAAGCACTACAACACACACTGAACTTGGCAGGAAATTTAAAAGTGAAGATGATATCGATTGTGGAGGGAGATGCTATACGGCCGAAACAGCCTCTGTTTCAGTTACCCAATATTTACGCAAAAGACCCAACGACCAATCATCTCTCCACGAGGAGTAGGCGCTACTGTGTCGATTTACTAGGCAAGTAACCTGCAGGTGGTAAGCACGAAATGTAGATGAAGAAACCCGATAAGACAGAAATAGCTGTTTTTAATAATCCACGTAGCAACGATGTCGACTGACATGTGAATCATTAGGAAGACGACTATCCCGAACATACTGGCGTAAATGTGTCGAATTTTATTCGAAAAATTAGTGGAGTTTCTGTTGCCACAAGAAGACAATCGATGGAGCAATACAGTGATTCTGGGACAGAAGTAAAACCTAATTAAATAAAAAGCTCTAGACCGAGTATTTCGCTTTCTGAAACGGAGTGCATTGAGAGGACCAATGGCAAGCTGTAAAAACGTCTGAACACAAACAGACAGAAACATATAATACGGAAAATATACGAGCTGGGACGAGAATTTCAAATGCATCTCGAGGGATAAAGGGAAAATTTTCAGTCGATAGTCGCGTAATTGGGACTTCTGGTTTGGGAACCATGCCCCAGCTCCAACAGACGATATATTTATTAAAAATAATAATGCAAACTTCAAACTAAGTTGGGGTAAATATCAAAAGGCCAACTCGCCTTTTGTACATGGCTCTATTTCTAGCACCAGACGAGAAAACTGTGTTATTTCATTCCGATTCAGCGGACTAGGCATTCATAAAGCCAGAATATGCTATCACAAACCGGTCTAACTGTATAACTTAGTGAATTGCCCATTCTTCTGAACCATTAGACGAGCTAAACGACGGCAAAGCGGCTAAAGAACAATTTGCTTTTCATCCCTTTTAGGTTAGTTTTCATGCGGCCTAATAAAAACCTGCTTTGTTTTATGAATTGTTTGCAACTGAAAGCCTTCCTAAACAGGCCCACAAATGTGGCATTTATTTTCAGAAACGATCAAA